AAAAAAAGATTTAAACACTTTATCTGCCAAGTTAAAAAAGTATAATAGTTGTAAGTTAAATTAGAAAAAGATGAAAGCACCTGCAAGTTGATAATCAAAGATAGTGAAACAATTAGCTTTATTTTGAAATATATAAACAAACAAGAAAAAAACACTCTTAAAGTCAATCAGGAAGCTTTTATGCCAGCACAAAAGCTTTCTATACTAGAGTTACTGGTAGACAAAAGAGAATTACAAAAGACTTGTATTCTTGACCTAGATATTGAAGTTATTAAAAAACAACACATCAGTCTAAAAATACAAGAAGATTTTATTAAGAAAAACATAATAGCAAAAGAAAGCTCCTAGTATTTAATAATATTCTACACAAACAGATTTTTAAAACACAATAATAGTTCTTCACAAACTAAGCCAGTTAATATGAGAGCTGGTTAGGTACAAGTAAATAAAAATAAAAGCAGAATATTAGATAAGAAATACTTTGAAGCAAGAAATTAGCTATTTTCAACAAAAGCTAAACTGCTCAAGATCTGATGTGTACTTCTTATCGTATCAAGAGAAAGAAAAGTTAAGATTTTTATAGACAATACTTTAGTGATAGAAATATAGAAGAAAGAAAAAAGAAAAAAAAAATACAACAGGTCTTGAATAAAGAAAATCATAACTTAATAAGTAGCATAGTTGATATAGTTAGGACTAAGAATATTTAGCTAAATCTAGTAAAGGTTAAAGGTTATACTGTAGTAAAAATAGATAGAATAATTTAGCAGATAAATTAGCAAAGCAAGGAGCCAAAATAGAAAATAGAAATAGTATTATAGAAAAACTTTTTCAAGAATCAAATATCTCTTTATGCTGGGAAGGTTTGCTAATAGAAGGCTTTACTAGATATTTATATAGACAATCTTTAGCTTTTAAATAGATATAGATTAGAGATTAACATTAGCAATATAGAAGAAAAAACCAGAAGACTTAGCTAATATATATCATTAGCCTATTTTTAAAAAAAAATTAAAAGCCAATCTGAAATTAAATATACTAGCCCAAAGAAGAACAAGCATTTCAGTATACTAGTTAAATGTTTTCACAAAAAATTGCTAGTCTTTAAAACTTTAGAACAGTATCATTTATCATCTGATTTTTTTTTATCAGAGGCTTACCCCTCTTCTCCTCTTACTATATATCTTGATCAGGTCTTTATATATAATTTTAAATTTTTTACGCTCTAAAAAATCATCTGATTTTTGTCACGTCTCTTAGCTAACAAAAGACCAGACTTGTACAAAAATTCTTTCTGTATAGTTTGTAAAAAAAAATGAAAAGAAAGATCAAGATCATTTGATAAAATACAAGAAATATGAAGAAAAATATAAGGAAGTAGAACAAACCGTATCAAATCTAATCTAAGCAGCTCTCTTAAAAAAAGCAAGAAATCAGCTTGACAAAATAAATCTCAAAACCTTGTTCTGAGAATTATTAAAAGAGGAAAAAACAAAACAAGATTTGGTATCCTTATAGCTTAGTTCAAGAAAAGACTTTTAAAAAGATTCTTAACACTATAAAACCTCTAAATAATATAAAGAACTATCTAGAAACTGCTATAAACCTGGCATAGAATTTCTTTTATAAAAATATATAAAAGCAAAGATACATAGTGATTAATGAATGAGAAAAGAAAGAAAAAATTAACATAAAGCTGAAGAGAAAAAAGAAACCAAAATTAGAAGACCCAAGTTTCAGTATAAGACAAATGCAAGAACTTGCAGGGAGTTTATTATAAATCAAAATCAAACTAAAAGAAAGGTCAAAAAGAAAAAAATAAAAAAAATTAAAAAGAAGAAAAAATAAAAAAAAAGATCTTGGTTAATATCAGTTAAAAACTTTTATATAAATAAAATAAAGCTATTCTGGTATAGCTTCAATGGCTATCTTAGTATAGCTCTCTAATATAGACAAAAGTCTTAACTAGTAAGACAAATCACTCGTAGATACCCTTCTAAACAGTTGAGAGATGTTGAATCTGTAATTTAAATAGTTGATTATATATATATATATATGCTTTGATCTAATAAAGATACTAGCAAGGCTGTCAATAATTTTAAAAAATATATATATATAATTATTATTATATTTAGTATATAATAAAATTTTAAATTTTGTTTTTTTACTTTCTCTTTTAATTTTAGTATTAATATTAGTGTTTTTTTGTTTTTTCCACTTCCCTATGAGAAGATGTTATCAGATTGGTGATATCCTATTGTAGGGCAGTGGTCTGACTATGCCTTCTGAGAGAGATAGAGTTTCTATAGTGAAATATATCATGATATATTCATATGAATAAATCTGCTTAGTGTGACCGATTACTTGTAAGTGCTCTTGAAGTAACTGCAGGGTGTTGGATCCAAATTATTAGATAGGCTTAGTTCTCTTGTTGTCTTACTTGACATTCATTTAATAAAGAAATACCGGCGAGATGGCCAAAGTGGAAAAAAAAAAATAATAATAATAATAAAATTTTAAACTTGAATAACTTTTGATCCATTAAACCAATTTGAATAATTTAACTACCAAAATAATTTACTCAAAGAGAGGTAAATAAACAAGTTCATTAAAAAAAATAAAATAAAATTTTAGCAATTAGCATGATACAAATAGCAAAAATAATAATATAAATAGCAATATTTTATAATAAATAACAAGAGAATTGCTAACCTTAACCAGAAAAAAATTATCTAAGATGCAATATCTCAACAATAGAACTAAAAAACATGATCAGATATACTAAGTAAAAATGTTAAAACACCCCAAAGCCTTGCATAACCTAAATTTGGGACTTTTATATCTAACCCTATCTTGGTCTCAAATTGCACTCTAACCTTAAAACATTTTAAAATATAAAAGAAGGAATTTTACCTCCAGTTAAATGTAGTAATTTTCAAATAACAAAACACAATAAATTAGATTTTTATTTGATTTATAACTTTAAAAAGTTATTACTTTATATATATCAAAAATTTGACAATTAATATATAGAAAAAATATCTATATGTATGATTTACTAACCAATTACAATTATCACAATTAATTTTATAAAAATTTGACCAATCATGTATCTTCAAATTTGGCATTTTCGAAAAAAAGAATATTTTTTGTTGTCCGGTACTGTATATAAAAATAAAAGTTAAAAACCAATAATCAATTTGACAAAAATTAGTCAATCCACATTAACTATGTAAGTAAAAAAAATTTATATTCTATACATGAATTTTCAATAAAAGTATACGATCTAACTTCTAATATAGTAATAAATTTTAATGCTAACACTAACTAATAACTCATGAGCGAAAATCTTTGATGGAATGTTGTGATTATTGAAAAATTAAGTGATATGCATAATGATTTATAAATGATTTACGTATAAATAATTTATAAATATTATGCGGCTTCATGATCAGCAATTTACAGCTAAGAAAAGCATTTGACTAATTAAATACAATGATGTTTTATAATTATTATGCGGGTTCATAGACGGCCAAACAAATAAACACTGTACAATTCAATTTTACCGGAGATAATGCACTATCAATTCTATTTTTACCAGAGATCATGCAATATCACATAAGTGATTGGATTAGGTTTTATGAAATATTATCATTAATTTTTAATAATCACCAAAATCAAAACAAATCCGCCCATATGTAAATAAAACTAATTATTTTTAATGCTAAAAATGCCAGAAAATGCACTCTGAAGCGATCGTTCATAAGCAAATTTTGGATTATACCCGCCCGCTCGCATAATAAGTGAAGGAGTGGGCAAATATCTATGTAAATATTGATGAATTAAGGACAAAAGTATGATGTATATGACAACTAAATGATTATGCTATACAATGCAAAGGATACGTATCATAATATTTATCTTTGAGCGTATAATGATCAATGTCCATATATTCTGACGCAATAGGATCAAATTCTTGTGTCTCTTCTTCTTGTGAAACTTTATCTAAACCGATCAATAATTCTCCAATATCAACATTATTATCATTGTCTAATGAATCTTTGTTGCGAATATTGGACTTCTTACGAGCTACTCCCTTCTTTTCCAATATTAATTTTGCTGATTCTGTGGAATTCGCCTATCAATATAATTGAGGCATATAAATATCGTTAAACCGTAGTATACTAATATTAAACACTCTTTATACCGAATCCTCGAAGCTTATTAAGAAACTTCAATTAAAAAGTGTACTTAATGTCTAAACCGAACTTAAAATTTTAAAGTTCAGTCTTGACATAATTTAAGTGATCGGTTTATCTAGGATCGGTTTAGAGAGAGTTGATTGTAATATATTAAAGCAAAATAAATGCACACCAGTAACTCAATTACTTCAGCTTTATGAGCTTCTTTGGCCTTTTTTTCTTCGGCCAATTTATTCGTATACTCTTCGAAATTTTTCTTCTTTTTTTTTTCGTTCATTATCTTGAACTCTAGAAGCCCATTCCTCTTCTTTTAACAGAAGACAATAAAGCTAAACTTAAAGATTTGCTAAATAGTGGTGTATCCGGTGTAGTTGAAATAGAATGGGATTTATCCAACAAAGATCAAGTTGTAAGTCGAAACCAATTTCTTCAAAAAAATAATCTTAATATCGATCATGGTGATATATATTGTAAATGGTCTATTCGGCATTCAAGTAAAATATTAATTGTCAAACAATGTATATGTGGAAGTTACCATGAAAAGGAAATTGCATCTGGCTCTCGAGTTACAACAGCATGTTATCCCTATGTAGGGTGTCTTGCATTTGTTACAATTTCTCTTCGTAATAATGAAATTTGTGATATCGCAGGATACTTGGAACATTTTGAACAATGTGTAATTTCTCGACCACAACGTGACCCACCATACCGACTTTTACTATACATAAGAAGCAGTGTTGAAAATTTATTAAGTCTTAATGTAAAAACTTTAGATATTCTTGCTCAAAATGCAAGAATCGTAAAAAATGTGTTTGGAAATCATACCTTGATTGGAAACTCCAGAGTATTGCTTACTGCAATGGATATTACAAATATTAAGAAACAAATACTACAAAAAAGCTAGAATATAAATATTAAACATGATGCAACAAAAAACTTGGACCATTTGCTTGGACCGAATGCAGATCTATCAGAGCTCAAGGATGCGTAAGTAATAAATTTAAAAGCTGAGGCTTGATCTTCTCTTGGTAACCGTTTTTATAATCATCATATATACTATTTTTTTATTATTTTTTTTTTTTATTTTTATTTTTTTTTCTTTTTTTTTGTTTTTTTTTTTTTTGCTATTTAGATTTTAGTATACATAATTCTTATACTTACTAATCAATTTCTTCATTTATATTTGTATTAAACTAGATGCTTACATTATCAACCTCATACCAAAGATGATTATCTAGAAATTATTATTTGTACCCATAAACAACAAGAATACACATAGAAGTATGGTCACCAAAATCTTATTCTTGTTGATAAAACTTTCGGCATCAGCAAACACAAACTACTTTTATTTATTATTATGATCATTGATAAGAATAACAAAGGTGTTTCTATTGAATTCATTCTTTTTACTCCACCTAAACATAATCGTCTAATATCATTTGGATATGATAGCAAGACTCTAGAATGGCTTTTTACAATCTTTCATGATAGAATTAGTGATAATTATAATAAAAATCAACTTCCATCTACCTCAATCATATTCAAGCCCTTGTTGCGATGACTGACATTGATATCAAAGAACGAAAGCTATTAGCAAAAATATGGCCAGAAATTATTTTGCTTCTTTGTTTTTTTCATATTAGTCAATGTTGTAAGAATGAAATTAACAAACAATTAGGTCATGGTGGTAATAATAAGATAATTCTGTTGCGAAAAACTGTCAAAATATTTTTAAAAAGTACTTTAAAAGAGGCTTAGTCAATAGATTGCAATGAGCAGATGGTGCATGAATATATTATTAAAAAACAAGAGTTATTAGAAAGTATTCAAAAAGCAGAAACCATTTTAAAAAACAAAAAAATCTTAGAAGGCAGCTTAAAATTTTTTACTTACCTAATAAAACAGTGGGCTAGTGATCTTTTGTGTAGTTGGTGTCTTAATGGACGGATGAAGGCTGCAGAAGTTCTTGGAATTCCTTTAAAAAAACTTCCTACCACAAATAATCACTTCGAGAAAATGAATGAATATTTAAAAAACAATCAATTAAACCGTTTTCAAAGAAATCATCATCTTCTCAGAGCCAATATACTTTACATAACACTTGTATATGAAGTTATACCAAATATTTTGACATTACAAAATCTTGCTAAGAACCTTGAACATAAAAACAGAGGAACGAAGAAAAGAACTTAATATAATGAACCCATCAGACTGTAAAATTCTAATGCAAGAATTTTTACAAGTGGCATATTTATCTCCAAGCACAAAGCGTGATGAATCGGCAAAAAAACTACTTGAAATGAAGAAAGTAATTAAATATGAGGTTGAAGAAATAAGTGGAAAGATTTATGTCGAAGTTGAATCTGAAACTACTCCAGGGTTTGTTTATACAACATGCGTGTATGGATAGCCAACAGATATTTGCTGCCAATGTTTTGACTTTCTTCAAACGGGTATTATATATAAACACCTTCGTGCTGCAGCCCTATATCTTAATAAACTTCGTAAACAAGAGCCATATAAATATTTACCTAAAATGATTTTTTTGACTTATCAAGAAGCTCAAAATATTTATCATAGTCAATATGATAATAAGTCGGAAGTACTAGTAGGTTCTGAGAATGAAGATGATATTAGTAATAAGAGCAATGAAGACACAGATAATGAAAGCAATTACTATAACAATAATGATGATAATTGAATAACTACCTCATCTAAGGAAATTTTTAATCACATAGAACATATTCTTGGAATCAACTCTTCTTCAGTAATGTCATCATCTGATGTGCCTATAGCGAATGTACCAAGACTTAACAAAATCAACTTCGATACCTTAAATATAACTGCTATCTACAAACAAGAGTTTAAAGAATTCTTAGAATCTACTTTGAGAAGTCTCCAAACTTTGC